AATCATGCTCTGTGTAGAATGTTTTTGCGCCTTGTTGGCTTTTCTTTTCGTATTTATATCGTAAAAAGTGGATGAAACACAGATGTTTATTTACTGTTGATATTTGGATGAAGGTACTGGTACTTTTAGATGGTTAGGAGTTGATATCTTCGTTCTCATTGCGGGATCTCATCTTGTGAGGTATATTTTTAATCCTTCATGTTTGTAGACGAATTACAGCAGTTGTGTTCATGTTAATTGGGACCCGCATCGGCATCTCCCGCCTTGTACCGAAATTGCAAAAAAGTTTTTAAATATTTACAAAAAATCACAAATAAAATATGGAATGCCTGGAAAATGATTTCCTGAGTTGCCTTTAAATTTTTTTGTGATCTGGGTTAGTGTTAACTGTAACCTCGAGAAAACCAATCCTGCTCCCAATCCTTGATCAAGCCAATTGATATATCAGTTTGTGTCGCATACATTTGTGATCATATTTGTGATGGAACTACCCATTCTTAAACTCTTTGAATTTCAAAGTAAAATTTTGTCACAAAATACACCTGTATAATTTCAAATTTTGATCAAGACTTGACAAATTACGTCCATTTAGTCTAAAAATTAACTATATTGTAGGTAATTTTAGATTCTTCATTGTAGAAAAAAAAATTTGTTAAATCTCGCACAAAAATTTTGTAGGGAAAAATTATAGCATTCAAAAGTTCACATAGTCATTCAGTTTGGCTTTTAAGATATTTTTTTTTAATTTTGAACACTGACAATGTCACTGATAGAATCACATTGAACTAGAGATATACTTACAGGTGTATGCCAGTTGTTGCTATGGTTATTTAGTCATTTTTTATGGCAATACTAATCTTATATTGATCTTTAATGATAGCTATCTGCTTATATATGCGTATACTTTATCTTTTATTTTATCGCACTTGTATTCCACAAACCACAAACAATATCTGTCATTTGTCATTTTTTTCTTCTAACAAAACGTGATCATTGACATTACAAGTAGTGGTTGGGTCGTGCACGATAAACATCAAGGGAGTCTAGGAAACACATGTCTCGATAGAAATGTACCATGTTTTTTTGGTCGCATTTTCAGCGATCTGTTATTTTGTGCTCTAAAAATATGAATTCAACATAAGCTTGTCTTTATTGTTACTATAATTTTGTGAACTACCTGTACTATCATTTCTTAAGGTTTTTATAGCAATGAACTTTTTACCGTTGTCCTTAAAGTTGCTTTAGAAGAATATTCCTGGAACCTGAGTATGAATTTGCTTATATTGTGAGATTTACCAGGATTCTGTCTTGTTTTGAAGTACTATGGCCTGCAGTAATACAAAACAAAACAGAAAAAAATTGAGAGAAAGAGCCTTTGCATTTGATACAGTTATCTTTTGAATCAGCTCTGACATTGCATCTTACATAAAATTGCCCGTTCATATAATAATATTGAAATTGGCGTAAATTTGTTCCGATTCTCTTGTTTTTCTCTGAATTCAGTCTTAATTTTGAACCAAACAAACAAAACAAGAAGCAAAGAACTGGTTTACCATCAAAACATTTTAGATTTTCGTTAGATTTTATGCGAAAAAGAAAAGACTGTAAATGCATCATTTTGTGGATGGTGTCTGAAGTTCACTTTGGTTCTCAATGTGTCATGTTGCCAATGACCATGTTATCAATCTGTGCATTTTACTAAGCATCTGTGCTGATGACCCATGAACTCAAAAAACTGACTTGACCATAGGTTCCATCATCATCACATGTACCTTAGTTTTTAAGATTTGTTTGGTCAAAGTAGTTTCATGAATCAATCATAGCGCATTATATCTGCATAGACATATCAATATGTTAAATCAGTTACCTATTCTACCAATAAATCAGGTTTAAATTAATCATCGTAAACAAAGTGGTTTTGGTTTTGATCATAATTTTGAAACTGATCTAGGATTCTGTTAAAAGGCATACTATGGGTGAGTGTGTTGAAGTTACTAGCTGGTGCAACTTTAACCTTTCACCACCAGACATTCCTACCCAAATTTGTCTGCACATTTTTCTTATTTTCTTTAATATTTCAGGAAATAAACCCTAATTTTGGAGCCAACAGACAAAATTTGAGTAAATTTTCAGTTTCTCCTCAAAAAAATTCTATATTTTTGTTAAAATCTTCTGAAGGAAAGTGCAGACTATAAACAAGACTATTTTGTGAATTTGTGGTGAAAAGAGGGAACTGATGGTGATAAGGTTAAAGTCTTTGAATTCTGGTACTTCTATGTATATGTGTGAATTACTCCATCTTGAATTCTCTGGTACTTCCCCTATATCGTGTGTGATATACACCACAGTCGTCATGGAAACTCTGGTACTTCTCTTTCATGTGGGATGTTTTCTACAGATATCAAAGGAGACTGATGACTATTGCTCTACCTCATTCATAGACTGCAGGCCATCTTTCAGTGATAGCACTGTAACTTTAGAACACATGACACAATTGCAATATTGCATTGTGGGGGATACTACATGGTATGTGGTATCCTCTCAGTGTTTGAACCCATTTTTGATAGAGTTAGCATGACTGCTACGTGTAGGTCAAAACATAGCATGTTATGGTTTTTTTTTAAAAACAATAAATCATTTATAAATTATCTTGTATTAAATAATCTCTGCCGTAGAGGTGTACTGTATATTTATCAACAGATTGTAGTACTGTAAATGGATTAACAGAATGTTACGCTGTATAATGTACCCTTAAACAATAGGAATTAGTTCATTGCACGTCTGTTGTAAACACCTCAAGCTCCAGTCAACAAATTTTATTCTGATTTTCAGGTTACTATGGCGCCCAGCAATCGGCAGTTGTGACTACGAATATTATAGTAGTAATTTTTATCTATAATGGTGGCAGTAAATCACGTATTTTGATGTAACATCTGAAAAAGAGAGCCTGTAACCGTGTGTAGTCCTGTGTTTGAATAATTTATCACTGTCACATGACAAGCACAGTTGGAGTAATTAAAACTGTACATTATGCTGAGATACACCAATGAACTTGGTTTGTCTCGCATCTCAGAATCGAGAAATGAGTCTTTAAGGATATGGTAATGATTGGGGGTATGCTATTCAGTTTGTAAAATATTAAAACACATGGCAATATGCAAATGAGCTGCCATATTTGCTCGAAAATTTCCAGGGAGAACATTGTTTGCCACATTTGTAAATATGTCCGGTGTTTTGTTGAAATCTGTTTTTATCCAATTACTGTATAATAATGGTAGTTCATAAGAATTGTTTTCTGTCTTAGTATTTTTGAATTCAATACAATATTGAGAGATGGCTTACATATAGCTGGATCTTGTTTATTTCTACATATTTCTAATAGTAAATGACCTGACAGATACTATGCTACTGTTTGTCCTCAGAGCCGGTACAGGAATTCCAAATTCCAACCGTGGAAGGTGACATTAAATGTTAAAATCATTGAATCGCATAAATACACCTGAAGTAGACGCTGCTTAAAACAGCCCACTGCGTGATTTGGAGACTGAAACACACATCGTAATGACTGCGATAACATAAATTTACTTGCTTTGACATGTCAAATAAGTCTCTTGTTAATGGCACTTGTACGTTGCTAGGATTGCTGCATATTTGCTGCGTAAAGGGTAGAATGATAACACTTTAACAGGCCATCATACCATCATTCAGATACAATCAGTGTTTAACCACCAATAGTTTATAATTTAAAGGCAATGCTCGTTATGTTTAGTACTTCTCTCCGAGTCGTGCTATTATTTCTTTACTTTATGCGGAGTCTACTTGCGTTTATTTGAGCTGCATCCTCCAGCTTTCCTTGCTGAGATTAAAGTGTGTACTCCAGGATTGCCAATAAAAAAAAATAGTCGCCTGCACACAGGACAGACAACCTGATTTGGCTATGCTGATGAATTACTGTCACAAGGGTGGGTGTTGTAACCCGTGAAGTGTTATTGAATAAACCAATACATTTTGGTTAAAAGTACAATCACTTTGATATTCCCCGTTTAGTCATAATGTGCTTCTGTGATGTTCAAATTTCGCTATGGAATAGTGGCAATAGATGGAAGCTGTATTTTTGATTCATTCAGAGTATGGCTTGTGTAATAATAATAACTTGGTTATTTCGTTTTCAGTAACTGTTTTTCTAGACCCCTGCCAGTATAAGTCATTTGTATGGAAACCTTGACCTTTACATGTGGTTATTGGTGTATTTTAATTATTTCTATTTTTACAAATTTCTTATGCAAATTAGATTGTATTATGCAAATTAGATAGTATTATGCAAATTGTGCAACCTTCTATAGGTATTAACTTGGAAGGTAACTGTACTTTTTGTCCTGCATGTGTATTCATTGGGACATGATAGAGTTTTGTATTACAACCACCTGTTGGTAACTGCCCTACATTATACCATCAAGAGTAATGTGACAGTACTATCAGTGATATAATTAGATATATTATCCACAAACAGCTACAAGTTAAATGTATTTGCGTTCTTCATTGTTGCCTTCACTAATGAAATCACTTGTTAATTAATCACAACAAAATAGTAAATTTCTTTCTATATTGAACAAGCTTAAAAAAAAAATTATATATAACCATTTGTATCCATTTATTATTTCTCATTGGTATGTAATAGTATTAGTTTTAATTTGTTTATTTTTGGTCTCAATTTTTTTTTTTTTTGGTTGGTGTTGGTAGTGGTGGCTAAAGTTAGTTACTCGAAAGATTTTGTTTTTTAACAAATTAGCCAAAGTGTTGGCGCTTTTTCAATACTATTGTCCTCAGCAAGTTTTTTAAAATTTAAAATGGTATTATTGTGATACTCTCCGGGCATATGAATTATATTATAAATGATCTGTCTAAGTATTAATTTATAATTTTGGACATTGGCGCTAGTGTTCTTGGAAGCCTTGTATGTTTCTTAACAATGATTTTATTTTATTTATTTATTTGAATAGGTGAGGTCACCACATTCTAACAAGTGTATAAGCGACGAAAATACAAGACCAGAAGAGACGAACGGATTACCAAGATTTCGCTCTAAAGACAGATTAAGTGACGTAAGTAACAATAAAATACAGTATTTGCGTGATTATTCTCTGTTTTTGATTATAGCTGTATGCGCTAATTTAAAACCCAGCAAATATTCAAAATGGAGAAAATAATCTCTCTCTTTCTTTTTTTTATAAACCAGTGAATTTAAAACTTACTGAATATCCCTGAAAAATTACAAGGCGGCTAAAAATAAACTCTGAGATTATTTCTCTTTGTACAGTAACATGCTGGTTTGCTTCTATTAAATAACTGCTTATAAAGTTTGACTGGCAAAGTCAAGACTTCTTTTTTGTTTTACAAAAAAATGTAATTAATTGTCAATTTAGCCTTTTCAGTGTGATCGCGAAAACTAGCGTGACCGCAAAAACTAGCGTGACTGCGAAAGAAATCCCGAACATAAAACAATTAATTATTTCTTTTTGTAAAACAAAAAAGAAATCCTGATTTTGTCTTAAATTGTGCTTCTGTACAGAACTTATACAGTGACCATATTTGTTGCATACTGAGTTGGGATTGGATTTACTACTACTCAATATTAGATTTATTTCCGCTTTGTAGTGAGTTGATTGAATTGTACATAGTTGCCATGCTTGCCAGCTTGCATGATGATTGTAATACCGCCCTCAGTGTTGGAATGAGGAAATGTCCGGCCTGGTAGTGAATGTGGTCACAGTGTGTTTGTTAGCATGATTCATTGAATCAATAAACTTTTCATCTGATAATTGTTTGTCTGCCGTAGTAGTAATAAATTTGACCTATTTGGAATATTTGATTTATTGATGGCTAGGACAAAACTCCCTCTTCATTTATTCACATTTTTCTCTTTTTGTGGAAGACCTACATGCATAAAAGGTATGACAGGTGTGTCATGCTTATGTCATCAAATATTAATATTGGGGCTTTTTTATATTGCAGGAATATTTACTAAACTGTCAATTCTATTGTTAAATTTGAATATTCACTAGGTTTTATTTTGGTGTATTTCGCTATGTAAAACTCTGTAAAGTGTAGTTTTTAGACCTGCGCATGGTACAGTGGTTGAGGGTGTGGATCCCCTCAGCAGACTGATTACTGTAAAATACTTTTTTTCGCTATTTACGCTGAAGGAATGGTTCAGTGAAAATAAAATCTAGCAAATATACCTTTTTCCATATATTTTACATTCAAAATCTGTGAAAATAAATTCCTTAGAAAAAAACCCAAATGTCTTTTTAGCGAAAATTAATAATAGTTAAAATAAAGTATTTTACAGTACTCTATAAACAAAAGTACATAGAGCCCTCAAACGCCCAGTATTGGGTTTGGAAGAATAACAGTCAATAAGATGGAAGTTATTATTGATATCTGTGCTGTTGATAGTAACATAGTATACTTTCGCAATCAGTCATATATTGTCCAGTAGATGACTGGATGCGTTACTAATGAAGCCTTTTAATGAGACATGCTCGCATTTTATTTTCCGAACAAATTAACAAATTTGTATCTGTGCAAGCTGTATTCAATTCATAAAGGATAAATTTCCTGTTTTTTCAAAGTTAAAAATTTTGTCGTCTTCAAGTTTTGCTGAAAACTTGTACCCAATTGCATATTATGTTCAATTTGTTCAAACATAGCATACAAATTATAGAAAAAATACATAAATTATGCAAAATAATGCACCAAAAAATGTGCAACATTCACAAGATTATAGCATTGGCTTTCTTTCCTGAAGTTTTTCAAATCCTGAACATTCATGGCAGTTTTTTGGTTTTATAGATTTACATCTTGAAAGAGGACATGTTCGTTCTTCATTTTTTTTTAACACATCCAATTACTTAATAGAATGTATATGTGTGGCCTTGAACAGAAAGTGCAGTATTCTGCCTTAACTATGTGTTGCTATGGCTATCAGTGGATGGTTGGTGACCAGAAATTGTTATTTTGTGGTTTGTAAGAATGTTAGTCATTGAAAAAAAAAAATTGTGTTCAAGGCAGGCATATTCATAACACGATTACATTGGGCTCTCCAGTGCATGTCGCAATTCAGGGGTAAATGTTCTATTTTGTGAGGGAATCAATAATAAAGTGTACATAACATCTGTATTTGATTGAGCCCTCAGGTAGTTGTCTGGCAGTGCCAAACTAAATGTAGGGTAACTAACCAAATAAGTGATTTGAGTGAGGGAGGAGGGGTTTATAGCCTTTAAAAAACGACAGGATACACTAATGTTGATGCGGAATAAACCCTAAATATTAGCGGAGAATTCTTTAATAATCTATTCATTCCCTGGCTTTTTTTATAAGTGGAAAAAAAAAAAAACGAAATCCCAAACCACAAAGCCATTAGAACTGCGTGGTTTCCGTTTCTCACAATGTGACATGATTGAAGAATTTCTAAAAAAAAAAAAAAAAAACACTAAGCAATTTTCAGTTTATCAGATATAGCTGCAACATTTCTATAGCAATTGTAGACATAATTGTATTTGTCAACGGAGCGAAAAATATGATCCAGTTAATGTAATAAACGAGAAAGTGCGATTACTATTGACATAGATGTGATTTTATTGCAAGATACATGCATGGCAGTTCGTCAATATCCTCACAACGCAGAACTGTGTGACTGATGGGTCGAAATTGATTAGTTTATTGGTTGCCATGGCGATAGATAGTTGTAATTTGTCATGCAAATTAGAAATAAATAGTGGATATTATGTAAATAGTCTACTGAAATGACTTGTATTTCCTGGCTGGCTTTGTTATGATTAGATGCATTGTCCGACAGTGCCGTATATTGATTAACCGTAGACAGGCTACTTAGACGCCGATCAGCGTAAATGTACTCGCAACGGCTATCACTTTAAGATTTTCCGTCACTATCCGATGATAATATAAGTGTACCTGATTGTTTTCTATCGTTTGGCGTATTGCGTTTATTAATTGAGGTATTTCTTTCTTTTCATGTTTCCACTTTTCTACGTGACTATATACAGGGAACACATTTGTTGCAGAGTTAGTTTGAGTTGAGGCGGACATGTTTTTTTATGTTGTTTCAGGTCTTCATTGAAGCTGTTCTTCGAAAATGAGCAAATATCTGAGCGGTCTATTCTGCTTAGAGTGACGGATGTTGACAGTTCTGATGAAAGGGATAATAACAAAGTAACAGCTTTGTTTGATCGGCATTCTAACGGCAAACTAAACTATTTCCTGATCAGCCTCCTTTCTAATATCATTTCGCAGAAATTATTTAAAAGTTAGCGTGGCACGAAATCAATTATGTCCCATAATGCATTGTGACATCAGTTTAATTGTATTATCTATACCCCGACTGCATTGTATGTGTTCCACATGCTGTGATCTCTTCTCGTATCAATTATGATCACACCCCCTCCCAATGAAATAGTGTGGGCTCACATGCAACGAAAATCATACCCTGATATGGACGCACAGATCTTGACTAATATTGAATTCTCTCTAGTAGTGTAGTTCTTTGCATATCAATTTCGATCAGGAGTATTGAATGGTGAATTAAATTTTTTATATTTTTGATGTGTTTGCAGGGCAGCTCTCATTCCAGCTCTGGAAAAGGATACATCGTAAGTATGGTTTGCATTACTTATATATAATACAAGTGTACCACACCTGGGGATGCATCGGACATGTATCACACTGTGCCACAATCTTCTTTTTCCTGAATGTAAAAATTATTGTTGCTTATTCATGGGGAATAAGATGGTTAATCAAATGAGATCCTATGTGACTAGTATCATGTGACCTCAGTAGGGGTGGGGGATCTCATGTGACTTAGTAGGGTGAAGATCCAATGTGACTCAGTGGGGGTAAGGGATCTCATATGACCTCAGTAAGGAATCTCATAGGACCTCAGTAAGGGGAGATCCTATGTGACCTCAGTATTGAGAAAATCTCGTGTGACTTCAGTAGGAAGAGAAATTCATGTGATCTCAGTATGGGGAGAATCTTGTGTGACCTCAGTATTAAGAAAATCTCATGTGACTTCAGTATTGAGAAAATCTCATGTGACCTCAGTATGGGGAGAATCTCATGTGACCTTATTATTGAGAAAATCTCATGTGACCTCGGTAGGGAGAGAATCTCATGTGACCTCAGTATGGAAAGAATCTCATGTGACCTTATTATTGAGAAAATCTCATGTGACCTCAGTAGGGAGAGAATCTCATGTAACCTCAGTATGGAGAGAATCTCATGTGACCTCAGTATGGAAAGAATCTCATGTGACCTTATTATTGAGAAAATCTCATTTGACCTCAGTAGGGAGAGAATCTCATGTGACGTCAATAGGGAGAGAATCTCATGTGACCTCAGTAGGGAGAGAATCTCATGTGACCTCAGTATGGAGAGAATCTCATGTGACATCAGTATTGAGAAAATCTCATGTGACCTCAGTAGAGAGAATCTCATGTGATCTCAGTATGGAGAGAATCTCATGTGACCTCAGTATGGTGAGAATCTCATGTGACCTCAGTATGGAGAGAATCTCATGTGACCTCAGTATGGAGAGAATCTCATGTGACCTCAGTATGGAGACTGGAGAGAATCTCATGTGACCTCAGTATGGAGAGAATCTCATGTGACCTCAGTATGGAGAGAATCTCGTGTGACCTCAGTATGGAGAGAATCTCGTGTGACCTCAGTATGGAGAGAATCTCATGTGACCTCAGTATGGAGAGAATCTCATGTGACCTCAGTATGGAGAAAATCTCATGTGACCTCAGTATGGAGAAAATCTCATGTGACCTCAGTAGGTCATATTCATGTAGGTTGGCTGAAAAAGAAATTTATTCCACATTTGCTTTGCTATTGATTTATTTATTGTACATCTTTACATGCCTATTAAACATAATAGCTGTGTTTTTTTAGTATTATATCATAAAAACATTTTTTTTTTAATTAAGTGTTCAATAATTTAGACATTTATTATGTTTTTTCTAATTAATTAGTAATTTTTCATTTCAGTGAATACTCCGTAGAGTATTTTTGAAGCGTGTTTACAAAAGTGTTTCTGATTGGCTCGTTAAACCAGCATTTATACTAGCTGGCATACTGATAGCCTATTGTTTTCTTACTTGAAAAATGCCTTGTTTATTTTTTAATATTCATAATTATTATAGTCTTCCTAATCTGCATTTGATGAAGCCGATACCTTGGCCATTTTTTATTACAGATGAATAGTATTCAGTGGTTTAAATCGTGGGGATGAAACATAAATGTCTTCCTTAGGTAAACAAAAGTTTGATAATGGTTTTGACAAATGTGATAAAAAAAATGTATTTACACATTTGCCAGCCTTTGTGATATTGACCTCTGGATTCGGGTATCCAATATTATCCAGCGCTGTTTATTTTCACTTTTAATTTGCGGGCCCGAGTATAATTGCAATCATAACAAAGAAAATGAAATAGAAGTGATAAATTTAATACATTACTGATGATGCTAAAATGCCTGTAACTCTATTTAAATCAGCATTCGTTTGACAGCTTTCCAATACAATTAAAGAAAATTGAGCCAGTATAATAAAAGATAGCAACAATCAACGTGCTATTAGGGAAGCTTTTATGTGATGTGACTCTCTCAAAGGTTGGTCTATTTTCAGTGGCAATGATTTCCTATAGAATTGTAAAAGGAAATTGCATCTAGTGATTGGAGCCAAGACAATACAATTTTGGAATATGCTATGATCTCGTCTTATTGCTTATGAATCACTCAGCGGTCGGCCTTGCTGGCTAACTGTCATATGGGCATATAAAATATTGATTATGGTAAATTGCCACTAACAGGAGATAGTTGACATTTTATGAAAACGGATATGAATATAGAAGCGGAGGCTGTTAATGCATACTGAATAAGTAAGCCGTTGTAGTTTTCGATCGTGTTTGCAGCAGGATTGAGCTTATTTATTGAGGTATCTATGATTCAGTCTACAATTGATGTCTGTTTTACTTGTAAATCCTAGTGGTGTGTGCGTTAATATACTTCTGTTAATGTACCGTTTCTCTGCTAATTTTATCCGTTTTTATTGATGTTACAAGATACTTCATTCTGATCGACTATTATACCATGGTTACCATGGTAATACATGTTCATATCAAATCATTCTATTTTTTGGGGTGGTTATGAGGTTTTATGTCCCAGTGGATGCAATGTTTCAATATTTACATCCGTTTTAACTGCCAACCAAGCTAATTTGTATCTACATTTGTAAATATGACAGCTTCCGATGTAAGGAAAACCATCTTGTTTTCATCCGACACAGCATGTTCATTTAATGACCCACCCCCTGTAATGCTTAGGATATTTTTTCCATATTTTGCTTTATTCATAGTTGCTTTGATTTTATTCCATCAACAGAAATTTGGCATGTTTGATTGATTGATTTTAAATGATAGGTGTTAACATATACATGTATTTTTCTTTTTTTTTCCCTTCCGAATTCCAGTTTCACAGATCATATATTTATTTATTTATTTTTCTGGGATTTGTATTATTTTAAAAATGTGACAATACTAATTTTTATTAAGGTTGAATTTCTAGAGACAGACACAATCAAAAATTGAGAAATTTGTGTTTATTACACAAGCACCATATGATTATCAAATTGCTAAAGTTAATGGAGCTGAAATACTATTTTATTGAATTTTTTTTGTTACCATATTAGCTTTTTCATAAACTATGATCAAAAAGGTCATAGTAATTTTAATATTTTCTCCGCACTTCAAAGTATTCATCCCAGATGGCATTATCAGAAACATTTGAAGCCATAAGTTTATTCAGATAGTTATCTTTTAGAATTAATTTGAGAGAAAAAAAAAATAGCATTTTCCCTGACTCTCAAAAGTAATTACAGTGAATGTAGATGGAAACCAATTATTGTATATAATAGAAACTTCAGTCTCCAATGTCTAAAAACTGTTTGCAGAGCTGTATTTGGTAAATATACTTTCGAAATCACTAGATTTGTCCCTAAACTCTTGCATGGTTTTGCATTGAATGTCTTCATTTAAACACAGGATATGAAAAGGTCTGATCATAGGCCCTGAGGACACGCCACCCAATTAGACTCCATATAAAAGCTTGCAAGGCGAGTACAGTCACTGTTACTGGTTCTCTTTCTCGCCTTAAGCACCTTTAGCGTATTGCTCGTTTCCTGAGGCCTCAGGGAATTCTTGGTGTAGGTGCTTGTCTGACTGGGATGCATTGGTTCCAGGATAACTGGTTTCAAGTTACCTTCTGAGATAGTTTTCGGTACATTTGTGTTTTTTTTTTTTTTTTTGGACTATTAATAATTTAATAGTGCATGTATTACTGTCCTAAATCTTTTAATTATCTATGAATTGCAGCTGGTACAAACGTTGGTGTTCATTTCATTTTTATATCGAATGTGTATTTAATAATTACTTATAACAATAACAGCTGGTGGTATATCTGCTTTCATAATCTTATGGTTGAAGTAATAATTATATATTTGTCAATACAGGACGGTGTGTGTTGGTCATCTAACATTTTTTAATCTTTCCAAGTTTTATTTTGAAATGTGCCACTTTCAGATTCATGAGAGTGGTAATTTCATTTAGGAACTTACAAAAGACAAATGGTTGATTCGATTCTTGTTTTTGGTACGCTAATGTAGCAACTGTCGTGGAATATTTGCGGTTGTCGGCGATTTGACGACAAAAGCACACAATCAGATACTGTGTTCGTGGTTTCCCTGTGAGATGCGTATCTATCACAAACTGTTCAATTGGCACATAGTTGTTGAGTCAACTCGAGAGGTCATCAACTAACATTAGTATCGAAGGGTCAGTCCAATAATTGGATCACAGTTGCAAAGATGTGTTGATTGCCTTGCTTGATATCTGCAATCGATTCATTGCTTGATGGTCTTATGTCCGACATAAAACTGCTTGTAGACTTGTGCATCAACATCTTCCTATCGGTATATCTTAATTTTTTAATTGCGAAATTATCTTTTTTTTCATCGTATCTTATAAACTTTCAAACTTTAACCTTTTCTAAGAAGTAATAAATCATGCTGATTTGTTGAAACATATAATTGCATCATAAAAATAAATATTTTGGGTAAAATGCCATCTTAATAAGATAAAAAGTTAATAAATATTAGAATAAATAGGAGTACTTTATTCTGAGTAATGTCTTCACACTTTTATTGCCAATATAAATATGGATAGCTTGCTAAAAATAATGAAATGTCCTATTATCTGTTATTGGGCAATTTGGGACTCTACCATTAGTGTGGGGAATGGCAGGGTGGTCATGTGAGGGACAGTTTTATATATTTATCTGTTTATGTTGTAATAATATACTGTGCCAGATGCTTTTGATTAATGATGATGATTTTGTCGCTAATTATTCATTAGTTATTATATAATTTTAATTAGTATGCAATTTTAAATAGGATGTAGTTGTTATTTGCATATAATGACGTGATAATTTTTTTCTTTAATACGTAATGAGTGAATTGTAATTTCGTGGACAATGTTATTTTCTCGAAAGTTTGTCCTCAAGTACCAGGTTGTACTGGTACATGTATGACCCCCAA